TAATTGTTCAATGTCATTTATCTCCAGTAATTTATTCTGGGTTTCTCAGATTTTTTTTTAAATGTGTGCTTTGCCAGTATAATGATGATTTATAAAGTAAGTCTATTTTGCATGAAAATTAGCTAAAAGACATTTCTCCATAGGGCATTTATTCAGAAATTTATTGTCATTCCTCGATAATTTAATTTAAGGCTTAAACTCTGGGGAAAGAGGAAAAAAAATCTGGATGTTCAAATGATTTTGAAGCTTTTTTAAATAGAGATTTGGTAATAAAAATATTGAGAAGGGTTACTATGTTGAAAATTCCATTCATTGGAACGTCTGTGTGGTTCAGTGGGTCGAGCGACTGCCTTCGGCTCAGTGGCTCAGGTCATGATTGTAGGGTTCTGGATTCAAGGCAGCTTCAGGCTCCTTGCTCAGCGGGGAGCTGGCTTCTCCCTATGCCTGCCTCTCCCCTTGCCTGTGCCTGTGCTCTCTCTCTGACAAATAAAAAATAAAATCTTTAAAGAAAAAAAAGAAAGAAAATCCCATTCCTCATGAGTATTAAATCTCTTCATTATTAACTTGAATTGGAGGTGAACCAATAATATAAATCAAAATGCCCCTTATTACATGCTTAGTTAAGTGAATTTTTACGTCTTCATAATAATGAGAGAATAAGCAGAATTTTCTTAGTTTTTTAAGCACTTGTTGGTATATCCAACAATTCATGGCTAGTGACAATATCCCCACATCCATTTTGCCTCAATATTTAAAATTCACTTTGTGTACCACTATGAAAAATAACCCATAATTAGTCATTATTCTCAAAAAATCATATCTACCCATGAAGGAATATGTTGACTAGAAATGAAAAACCTAAAGCATACATTTATTTTATTTTGTTTTGTTTTTCAGTAAGTTATACTGAGTATAGCAAATACCTTCCATGTGTAAAGAAGGGGTTTTCTGCAACACAATAATAAAAGCACATTTTTTGAATAAAATTCTTCACAGTCTAACATCAATTATCATTTGCAAGAGGTCCTGGTTGTAAAAAAAAAAAAAAAAGAATAAAGAAAATACAAGAGACACCTACTAAGAGGGTATAATACGTAATATTACTGAACATGCCCTTCCCTGACTACTTACTTCATTATTGTTCCCTAGTATACACTAATATATTTCAGCTAATCACATAATAAATGCTTCTGAAAAAAAATTTTTAAAGCCCATGATTCTGCCAATAGTCTCACTGAAAATTTGGCACTATCAGTGGTGCTATCAGAGTAATTAGGGAATAGAAATAACTAAGGTTATCATGAAAATCTGTTTTGCCTTTAAGTTTGAAATTCAAATGGCTAATATTGTTCATTATAGGTAACTTCAGGGTGTTTATGTTTAAACTTAGCATGAGACAAGCAATCGCTTAATGTGTATTGTTAGAAATTTTTGTTCTACCAACATTTATCTTGAATAGTGCAATAAGTATCACTTAATCTTATACCTTTGTCCAAAAAAAAAAAAAAAAAAAAAGAATTGGGGCTCTTCTTTCCATGACCAATCCTGATTTTTTGGATGTGGTATTTTATTTTAAAACGTCACTAATATGAAAATGAGATCAGAAATGAAAAAGATAGGGTGCCTGGTGGCTCAGTGGGTTAAGCCTCTGCCTTCGGCTCAGGTCATGATCTCAGGGTCTTGGAATCGAGTCCCGCATCGGGCTCTCTGCTCAGCAGGGAGCCTGCTTCCTTTCCTCTCTCTGCCTGCCTCTCTGCCTACTTGTGATCTCTATCAAATAAATAAATAAAAATTTTAAAAAAAGAAATGAACAAGATTAAATTAACATAAAAATGAAATCAGAAATTAACATGATATCTTCTAAAAGATAAAACTATAATGATATCCTGAATTTACAGTAATTGCATTTATTTTCACTGGTTCAGGAAATTCATGATGGAGAAGACCCTAATGGTGCTTTCTTTTTCTACTTATGACATCTATTAGATTCTCCCATTTTGCTGGCTTGATATTTTGAGACATCTATAGAAGCTTGGCGGCTTTGTAATTTTTTTTTTGGATAATTGACATGCAATAAACTTCGCATATTTAACTTGTACCATTTGTAAAATTTTGCATTAGTGTGTCATTATCACAATCAAAATATTGAACATATCCATTACCATAAATGTTCCCTCATCCTCTTCCGCAATCGCCCCTACCCACCTCTCCTCCCACCCCAAACCCCAGACAACCACTGAATTGCCTTGAGTCATTATAAATTAGTTTACATCTTCTAACATTTTATAAAAATATAATCATGCAGTGTGTATCTCTTTGTGTGACTTCTTTTGTGCAGCACAAATATTTTGAAATTTTTCCTGTATTTTGAGTGTAATAACTGTTCATTGATTTTTATTGCTGATTAATATTTCATGGTTTGGATATATCACAAATTGGTTATCCATTTACTTGCTGATGGACATTTACATTGCATCCAGTTTGAGCCATTACAAGTAAAGACTTGTAAACATTCATGTATAAATCTTTGTATGGACCTAAGTTTGCATTTCTCTTGGAGAAATATTGCTTGGGTAAAGTCACTTGTAAGAACAAGATCGATATACAAAATCAATTGTATTTCTACATAAAAGCAATGAGAAATCAGAAAAGGAGAGCTTAAAAATGTCATTTATGATAAAATATTTAGGGTTAAATCTGACAAAAGATGAGCAAGACATACTGTACACTTACAAAACGTTGTTGAGAAAAATTAAGGAAGATAAACAAAGAGATACATTGGCTTATGTAATTCTCCCATTAAATCTACCAGTTTCTTCTTTATGTATTTTGAGGCTTTATTATTATATACGCATTTATTTTTGTTATGTCTTGCTAATATAGTGTTCATTTTCTTATTATAGAAATTTTTTTTTGTTTAGTAAAATCCTTTGTCCTTAAGTCTATTTCATCTGATATTACAATAGTTACTTCAGCCTTCCTATATTTAGTTTTCATGATATTGACTTTTTAATCCACTTACATTCAATCTGTAAACTTTATATTTATATTATTTTTATATTTAAAATGAATACCTTACAAGCAACATCTAGTAGGCCAACTTAAAATATCTGTCTTTTAATTGGGTGTTTAGGCCGTCAATATTTAATGTAATTATTCATATGATTAGATTCAGCCAATATATATCTCTCTAGCTTTTTCTATTCAAAGTCAACTTGAGACAACTTCCCTGGGTGTCCTTTTCAAACCAAGTTTTATACTTCCTAAATTCAAGAAATAACAACTTCTCCCTCTAAAAGAAAACAATATTTCTTTCTTCTTTTAAGTTAATAATTGCTGTTTCTTTAAATATTTCTTTTTGAGGATTTTGTGTCTTTTCTTCATCCTACTGACATATAAGTATATTATAGTTTGTATATATTACCTCTAAAGTAAAGTCCTCGAAACTGAATTACCAGGGTTTCAATTTCTCTGTATTCTCACCAACACTTTTCGCTCTCTCTCTTTTTTAATAATAGCCATCCTGAGAGATATGAGGTGATATCTTATTGAATTTTTGATGTGTATTTCCCTGATGGTTAAATAAATTGAGCATATTTTCATATATCTTTTGGACATTTATATGTTTTCTTTAAAGAAATTTATAATCAAGTCTTTAGCTCATTTTTTAAAAAAGCAGGTCATTAGCTTTTTGTCGTTGTTTGCGTGTTTGTTTGTTTTTATTATTGTATTATTGTAGGCGTTCCTTATATATTTGGGAAATCAATCCCTTACCTGATATATGGCTTGCAAATATTTTCTTCCTTTCTGTGAGTTACATTTCACTCTGTTAATTGTTCCTTTTGCTGTGTAGAATTGTTTTAGTTTGATGGAGTCCCACTTGTCTATTTTTGTGGAAGAGAATATCCTTTTCCCAATTTGTATTCTTAACACTCTTGTTGAAGATCAATTGATCATATGTGTGTGAATTTATTTCTAGGCTCTCTATTCTGTTCCAATAGTCAATATGTCTGTCTTTATGCCAGTATTATACTGTTTTAATTACTGTATCTTTGTAAAATATTTTGAAGTCAGAAGTGTGATGCCTCATGCTTTCTAGAAACCAGAACCCTGGCACACTGTTGGTGGGAATGCAAAATGGTATACCACCATGAAAAACATATTGTGCAGCTGGTATAGAGAGTCCTCAAAAAGTCAAAGTAAAACTGCCATAAATCCATTAACTCCACTTCTAGTATTTAATCAAAAGAAATGAAATTATGTTCTCAAAGAGATATTAGCACTCCCTTGTTTATTGTGGCCTTATTCACAGGAGCCAAAGTGTGGAAACAAACTAAATGTCCACAAGGATGAGTGGATAAAGAAAATGTTGTGCATACACACAAAAGAACATCAGTTAGCCTTTAAAAAGAAAGAAACCTGCGATATGGAACAACGATCAAACTTGAAAACACTATTGTAAGTAAAATGTCAGTCATAGAAGGTCAAATACTTCATGATTCCTTTTATATGAGGTATCTAAAATAGTCAAATTTAAAGAGATAAAGAGTCGAATGGTAGTTGTCAGTGTCTGAGGGGGGAGGAGTAACAGAGATTTGCTAATCAATGGGCATAAAGTTTCAGTTAAGCAAGATACAAAACTTCTAGAGATTTGCTGTACAGAATTATACCTATGCTTAACAACAGTGTTTTACACACTTAAAAATTTAAGAGGGGTAGATTTCACGTTAAGTGTTCTTATCACAAAAAAGCAATGTAATTAACTGAGATTTAATTAATGCAACCCAAAGCATTATAACATTTTCTCGTTCTCAGTATTATAACTGTGTTAATGCAGACCAAATTACATTAGCTTTGTGGGGATCACATCATGCTATTTTCTCATAGTTAATATTCTGAACACTCAAACCTATAGTGGCCAACAGGTAACAACATTTCTGATGTAGGCATTTGACAGAGGTGAAACAAATCCAAAATTCAGGCCATAGAGGTTTTTTTACCTTTCTATTCTGTCATCTTTAGTTTCGGGGTTTCATTTTCATAGTTCATAGTCACAGTTAGCTCCTATATCTCTGATCATAGCATCTAAATCCAGGAGAAAGAAAACAGATATGTCAAAATGTTCTCCTTGTCAACATATGCCCCACTGATTTCATCCTTCATCTTACTGAATGTACCTGTAAGCACTTCAAGCAGTAGTATTTTTTACTACATGCAATGTCTCCCACTGTGCCCTCATGCTCTTCAACTGATAGTTGGTGGGGAGGGAGTGACTTCCAATTTACGGCTGCCCGCAGCGTTCTGACACACTCCTTCCAACCTGAAGAATGCTCTTCCATCTGTCTGGGTGCTTACAGAACTTCCTTTTATGATTCTATTCTATAATCCAGGCTGTGTTTTTGGAATTCCTTTTTCAGAAAGAACATTTTTTCAGCCCCGATCTGCCATAACCTTTCCTGTCTTTTAGTTTCTTCAAGGATTATCATTACTACTTTTAAGTAATTAGGGTAAAAAGTCATTTGTTATATGGAGATAAATGTCTATGTTATGAAATACCTCATTGCTTTGAAACCAGTTATATTTCAGTAGTTTAAATCTCAACTTTTATTCTCTAGCCTGTTTTCTTCTGGAAGCAAGGAGAAATGAAACTCATATTTATTGTTTGGCTACAAAGATAAGTAATATGTTAGACACTTAGGGGTAAAAAAAAGTATTTGGGGCACCTGGGTGCCTCAGTCATTAAGTGTCTGCCTTTGGATCTGGTCATGATCCCAGGATCCTGAGATCAAGCACTGCATTGGGCTTCCTGCTCAGTGGAAAGCCTGTTTCTCCCTCTCCTACTCCCCCTTCTTGTGTTCCCTCTCTCGATGTGTCTCTCTCTGTCAAACAAATAAATAAAATCTTTTTAAAATAAGTATTCAATAGCAAGATTGATTTGCACTGAAATTTAAAATATACAAGGGATGAAGAGAAAAATGGTTATCAACCTAGTGTTTTATTTATGATTGCATTTTTAGCTATGCCATCTTATGGTTCATCTGTATATCATCATGCATAAGAGGTATTATGGCAATATCTGTGAGTAAATGGTTAGTGTGTTTGAGAAAATAATATCCAACTTCCCCAAAATTAATATATTCATGGGGCTAAATGGAAGATACAGAAAGATGACCCAAAGTCTAACAGGGAAAGAACTCATGTTTTTTTCTGTATTTGTAGAAATACAGTAGTTATGCTAATGAAATGATAAGATGAATCACAAAGCAATAACATAATGACCTGCCCGAGGAGGTCACAAAACTATTAAGGATTCCTATTAATACAGAGTCCAGAATAATGTTATTTCTCCTAAAATTTGAAAAGAGTGAGTAAACACTGGTTTTGAACAGAAAGCTTAAAGGTTGAAATCAAGTAAATACATTCTCTAAAAATGGTTATCTGTGTGGTATTGCCTGATGATTTTATCATGACTGTAAATTGCAAGATACTGACAACAAATATTTCTATGACCTTGTGACATTTGACATAAAATTCATTTTTCTTCTTTACTGATGGGCAGAATGATTCCATTTCTGAGACTCTAACAAAAAGAAAACCTCTCCTTAACAAATGCAGAGAATGAATATATACAATTATCCCCTCTGGTAATGTTACTGAGATTCCTCTTTCCATGAATTTATCAGGGCAAACACAATGGCGCTTATTAAAAAACTTTAAACTCTTGATGAGCAAATACTATGTATATGCAAATATTGCCATGGTTGTTATTTCTCTTAGAACTTTAGGCACAGTCTCCTTAGAAACATAATTAAAATTTGCACACTCTTATTAAATGAAACTATTTGAGGGCAGTCATTTGGTTGCTCTCAAAATAGAATTTTGTTTTCAGAAGTGGCTTATGAACTTTATTTAATGCATCCCAAGGCTTCAAAAGGAAAATGTTAAGGGACCTCCTGCAGGAGCTCTGCCTAAAATTCCCATGTGTCAGCTTGGTTTTGCAAAGCACGCTTTAAAATGGAGGAACATTTTATAATTGGAAATCAACGACCTTAGGCCAATACAAGAGGACCCAAGGGGATTTGAATTGTATAAACTCCTGTGTGCGTATGTGTGTGTGTGTGTGTGTGTGTAAAACATATATTGGCTGAGCCAGCTACTTATAAGCTGAAGACAACTAAAAGCAAGATCAGTGACCTTAAATTGACACCTTCCCATACACTTGGGGCTAGATTGCAGTGTAGTGCAGTACAACCTGTTAAAAATTGACTCTTGACTTGGGAGTCAAATAAATAAAACAAAAGGGTAAGTGAGCACAATGATAGGTAAACATACTACCAAGGTGGTTTCCAATTATAAATCTTTTTTTTTTTTTTAATCTTTATCCGGAAAAAAATTGTTCAATATAGCAAAATGGAGGGTTGTCATGGGTAACCTGGCCAGGAGAAAAGGTGTACTGATATAAAAGTAGTATAAATATGGTGTCCTCTTAGATTTAAAAAGAATGAAAAGGAATTATTTTATCTTTAGCTAAGAAAAACGTAGCCAAGTGAAAAGTTTCTCCCCAATGTATTCCCTTACTGTAGAGTGGAAAGGTAGCTTTACACATACAAAGGGAGAAGGAGCCTTGTCGTTGCTTCAAAAACCTTGTGAAAAGAAAGGAAATAGAAATCAATTTCTGCATAAGCACTCTCTGAGAGTTCCTGAGTTTCCCAAAGCAAGGTAGATGTGTACATTCAGCTCACTTGACAGTTTAGGCAAGAATGTAGCCATCATTACATTTGGAAAATGTTCCCTTGTTTTTTTTGGTGTTTTTTGAGAGAAAGTGAGAAAGAGAGAGAGCTTGCATGCAAGCTAGAAGAGGAAGGAGCGGATGGAGGGAAAGAATCTTAAGCAGGCTTCACACCCAGGGCAGAGCTGGAAGAGGGGATTGATCTCACCACCCTGAGATCATGTCCTGAGCCAAAATCAAGAGTGTGAGGCTTAACTGACTGAGCCACTCAAGCACTCCAATGCTCCCTTGTTTTATTCTGTAATCTTCACATCTGTGTAATTTAACTAAAACCTGAAAGCAAAAGATATGGAAGAATCAATGAGGTAAAGAGCAGGTAAAACAGGAAAGGAAACCCTACAATTTAGAAAGCAGGTGTAAAGGAACTAAGTTAATAAGGTATATAAAGATTTAAAATGTGGAAACTGATCCACAAGAGAATCAGACAACTTAATGAAAATGATCTTTTGCAATCACGGCAATTCACATATAAATAAACACAGGGTTTTTCCAACCTCATAATGTCTCCTATTGTTCAGTTCATAAAGTATTTTTGTGTGCTGTATTTTGAAAAAGCCTACAAAGTGACTATGCAGTAAGAGCCAGTTGTGTAATGAGTCTTTCTCCCTTGTGAATACTTAAGAGTAGTAAGATAGAAGAGGAATCTGTACAACCCTGTCTGATTTTCCAATCAAATATTATAAAAGAGGTAAATATTGATTCACTGGTAAGGCTAGAACAATCAAAATTCCTTTAGCTTATGTAAGGTAGTGTCGTTCAATAAAACTATAACACAAGCAACATTTGTAATCTGAATTTTTCTAGTAGCCACAGTGAAAATATAAAGAGATACATGAAATTAATTTAAATAATGTTTCATTAAATCAAATATGTTCAAAATGTCACCCTCCTTTTTTAGAATAATTGATTTTGGTGCTAAGCAAAAGTATGTCAGTTTCCAACCTATGTCTGTCCAAGTAATTTCACCAACTCTTAACTCAACTCAACATATTAACATTAAATTCAAAGAGTGTGAGGAAGTTGTAAACCAATTCTAAATGTATTAATAGTTGTTATTCAAAAATTTGTTGTATTTATGGTCAATTTATAAAATATAAAATCTTTTTTTAATTAATTAATTAATTAATTAATTTATTTATTTGTGTGGGGGGCACAAGTAGGCAGAGAGGCAGGCAGAGGCAGAGAGAGAAGTAGGCTCCCGGCTGAGCAGGGAGCCCGATGTGCGACTCAATCCCAGGACTCTGTGATCATAACCTGAGCTGAAGGCAGTGGCTTAACGAACTGAGCCACCCAGGTGCCCCTAAAATATAAAATCTTTATTATTAATTTGTATTATGAAAAATTTAAATTTTAGGGTGAATTCTTGCACCTATCTAGCTAGGTTACAAATATACTTTGCCTTTCCTGGCAGCTTTGCAAGTATCTTGTCCGTGTATCGTGTGATACCAATAAGAGAATATAAGTCATGCTGCCCTTTTCTTTGTATCTATAGTTACTGAATATTTGGAAACCATTTCTTTGTCCTAGGAAAATTTTGAAATGAAAATAACAGTGTAATAATTCATTATAAAACTTTTCCATGTTTCAATCAATAAACATTAGCAAAGAACAATTGTCTTCTATTTTATTAACTGGTGTAGAACCGCAGCCTTCATATATTCTGAGCAATTTTTAACCACTGTAACCACGACACACAGAATCTTCCTCAGAAAACTGAATGCCAATGTTAATGTGAGTCAAATGGTGGCATGAAGCAGTGAAAGAAATCTCCATCTCTTGCTATAAAATTCCAATACATTGGGAGATGGAGAGGAGAAGTAAGCTGGGGTAAATTGGAGGGGAGACAAACCATGAGAGACTGTGGACTCTGAGAAGCAAACTGAGGGTTCTGGAGGGGAGCAGGATTGGGGGTTGGGTGAGTCTGGTGGTGGTATTAAGGAGGGCACGTAGTGCATGGAGCACTGGGTGTGGTGCATACACAATGAATGCTGGAACACTGAAAAAAAATAAAATGAAATTTAAAAAAATTCCAATACATCTGGATATTTTTTTAACTCAATGAGCTGAAACACTGCCTATCAAAATAGAACTATTTTTTAAATATATGGCTAGATAAAATTGTCTATTGTTATGTTTTAACATATGTTTAATATGTCTATTGTTATGTTTTAGGCTGCAAATTTACATGTTGTCATACATTTGTAAGACCTCTAAGACAAAACACAACTAAAGTATTAATTAAGCAGTCTCTCTTATATTGCATGATTCATCAAGTATTTGTAAGTTTTAGGGGCAC